GCCGCGTGGTGCCGGGTGCTGCAGCGGGAGCTGCGGCTCCGCGCGCTGCGGGAGGGCCAGCTGCCCAGCGTGGCCAGCGCGGCCAAGCTCCTGTCCACCATGCTGTCCGGCTACCGCGGGCTGGATCTGTGCGTGGCCACCACGCTGTGCGGCTGGGACCGCTCTGGGCCCGCGCTCTTCTACGTGTACAGCGACGGCACCCGCCTGCCAGGGGACGTCTTCTCCGTGGGCTCCGGCTCTCCCTACGCCTACGGCGTGCTGGACCGCGGCTACCGCTACGACATGAGCACCCAGGAAGCCTACGCCCTGGCCCGCCGCGCGGTGGCCCACGCCACCCGCCGGGATGCCTACTCGGGAGGCTCTGTCGACCTTTTCCATGTGCGGGAGAGCGGATGGGAGTACGTGTCACGCAGCGACGCCTGTGTGCTGTACATGGAGCTGCGGGTGTCCCCGGAACCAGCCCTGGAGGGTGAGGCCAGCCAGGCCCCGCCCGAGCCCGTCACTCCTCACGGAGCTGAGGAAGGCGGAGAACTCCCTGCGGGCCCAGGGGAGGTGGCACTAGAAGACTCGAAGATGCCAGCAGAGACTGAGAGGCTGTGAGAAGTGGCAGGGCTCGGAAACCCAGGCTGAGGGAGTGGGGCAGCGGGCAGGGGGCGGCTTTGCTGGGAGCAGCCTAACACCTTGCTGCAGCCCTCCTGGGTTGCCTGCTTCATTTGTTACCAGTCCCCACCCTTTCTGCCTCTGAGAGCTATTGATGGTTCTGTCCAACATGTGCCTGTTGATGCCCGGTGTGTTTATTGTCCTCCTTCTCAGCTCCACTTTTTTTTTTTTTTTTTTAAACAGAGTCTTGCTATGCAGTTCAAGCTAGCCTTGAGCTCACTTTGTAGCCCAGGCTAGTCTTGAACTCACAGTGATCCTCCTGCCCCAGCCTCCTGTCCAACCTGACTTGGAACAAACACTTGCGGTGTGCCTGCTGCCCACCAGATGCTGTGCTAGGTGCTCAGTGCTCTTTTCCTTGCTGTGCTCTTTTCTTTTCCTCCATCCCCTCCCCAGGTGCTCTTCTCCCGTGCTGGTTTTATATCTACGGCAGCATGAGTCTGTCTTTCTCCTGGTCACTGTCTCAGCTTGGTGGGGCGCCGCCCCTCTCAGAGTCACGAGAGGCCCGGTGGATGTGAGCCCAGTGCCGGCAGGAGGCCCTTTGGTGGTGACTAACTCAGCTGCCCCGTGCCCCACCTTCTCTGTAGTGACTATTATGATGCTCCTATGCGGAATGCAGGGGAAATGCCCCTTTTCCTGGAAGAGGAGCCGGACTCACAGGGTGGTGGGACCTGCCCGGCTACACAGTAGGTGGCAACCATGGGCTCAGGTCCAGGCCTCCCCTGCACAGCCTGGGCTTTAGGGCCAGCTTCCCTGGATCCTGGGGGTGAAGTGAAAGGAGAGTAGCTGGGCTGAGACCCTGCCTAGCTGCTGGGCTGCATGAACCCTGAGGAGCCAGAGGCCCTGGCGGGAAGCTGCCCTGACTGCATCTCTGGCCATGTCTGCAGGGGCCTGGAGCCAGCCCCCAGCCTGCGCCTGCTCGCTACCCTCCTGGGCCTGTCACTGTCACACTAGATGTTGTCTTTCTCCTCCCTGATGCACCCTGCGGAGCACTCAGAAAAGGGGGAGGTGGCTGTGTCAGAGGGGGCTTTCCTGCCCCTCCTGTCACCCCCCAGTGAGCCCTGAGGTGGGGATGCAGGCTGACAGCTCCAGAACTACTGCCCTCTCCTCAGGCCCAGGGACAGAGCGCAGGATTGGCCTAGGAGATGAGGCCTGAAAGGTTTCTGAAACCGTTTTCCTTTCATCCCAGTCCCAAGAACAAGGGCTGCTTTTCCTCCGCTGGCCACCCCTGGGCCCCAGGCTAACAGTTCCTCTGGGCAGGAGGTGGCCGGAACACAGACATCCAGACGGGGTCTGAGCAGGTGTCCGGGGAGGAGCCCGAGAGGAACACGGTGGGACGGGCAAGGGGTGTGGTGGGGAACCCGTGCCGGGCAGAGGACACAGGTGCCCGAGGCATGGATCAGCCTGTAAGCCGGAGACAAGGTGGACATGGAGGTTGAACCGAGAGCGGCGGAACTAGAGGGATGGCCCCTCTTTTTTCATCTCCTCCTGTCCCCTTCTTCCCACTGTTTTCTTCCCCTAGCCCTGTCCACCTTCACTGGGTTCTGCCCTTCCGAACGATGAGGTATCTGAGGACAGGGACAGGCCTGGGGGTCTAGCTGACAAGGCTGTTTTCCTACGGTCTGTGAAAATTTAAAAGGAAAAACTCTGTAAGGTGTGTTTGCTTGTTTAGACAAGGTCCTGCTGTGTAGCCCAGGCTGACCTCGAATTCGTAGTCCTCCAGAGGGCTGGGTTCCAGGCATCCTTTAAGTTTTTAGTGAGGTGGGAGAGGGCCCTGGGGGGATGGGAGGGAGGGCTGGTCACGCAGACCCAACACCCCATTCCCAAAGTGCCCCTCTCAGGGTGACCACGAGCCATCTCCTCCACTGCTCCAGTAATTCCTGAAGGTTGACGCAGGTATCAGGGTGAAGAGAGGGGCAGAGATCTGGCCTTTTCCACCCTAAACTGGAAGCCCTTGTTCTTTGATGCCCTGCTTGGGACATTGCCTCAAAATCTCCTGAGGCTGGGGTGAGGGACAGCCTGCTCTTACACAGGCCCTTGGCTGTCAGGGGTGCAGAGTTCCAGCTCCACCAGGGTAAGTGACAACCAGCACTGGAGTGGGGGCCTTGTCCTCCTGCCTCGGCAGGTGTGGAAGGTGTGAGCAGGCACATTCCCGAACTGCAGCACCCCACGGAGGGGAGGGTCACAAGGACTGCCTGCCCTACTTCTGTGTACCTCGGAAGTGTGTGCTTCTGAAGGGAGTGGGCACTGGAGATACCAGTGACTCCCCCTTAGCCGCCATGCTGGGTGACTGGATTCTTCCCGCAGGAGCCGGCCCCCCAGCCTCCTCTCCCCCGCTGCACTCTATGCAGGCCAAAACTGGGCTGGGGGAGAATTAAGGGAGGGGCAGCGGGCCCAGCTTCAGTGACTGGTCCTGGCCCACCTTTCCGCGGTTAGCGCTGCAGTCCCAGGAAAGGCTCCCTTGCCCACTGCTGCTGCTTGTTTTCCTGGGCTGGAACCTCCTTCCCTGGCTTCCTTTATCCTCTGTGGCTCCACCCAGTACTCCTCTGCCTGCCTTTCCTTCTTGACAACCCCGCATCTTCATTTCCCGGGAAGTTAGGGTCCAGCAGGGCAGTGGATCTGAGAGTTGTGGTGGGAGCCTGCCCCAGAGAGGAAGCGGTAGCAGTTTCCCCCAGGAGGAATGCGCTGTGCAGGGGAGGAGAAGTCGGGGATAACTTGGGCCTGTCTGCCCACCCCTCAGAGCACTGAAGCTCTGTTCAGGAGTCTTGCTGCAGGAACAGAAGCGGTGGTCAGGCTTTACAAAATAAAGTGTTTGTTTATTATGAAATTAGAGATGAAGGCCCCTCCCCTTCTTCCCTCTCTCCCCTTCCCCAGCTGCCTCCTTCTTTCCTTCTCCCCGTCCCTGGGGGCCTGGGAAGCACACAAGACAATGCCCAGCGCTGGGCGCCAAGGGCAGGCTGACAGCTGGGCAGAGCTCCAGGGAGGCCGCGAGTGGGGGCTGAAGCTCTTGCTCGCCTCAGGGCGGCTCCCTCCAGCTGGAGGCCGAGCCAGGATGAGGCCGTGAGTGATGGATGGAACCATGCGGGCAGGTCTGCGAGGACAGGACAGGGCGAGGGTCAGGCCCAGGGGAGTGGCCTCAGCCCACCCCCGCCCGCGTCCCGGGCACTGACCTGGGGCAGAGTCTCCCCGGCAGGAGGGTGGGCAGCAGTGGCCGGAAGTTTTTCTTGCTTTAGGATGGACGGCAACAACAACCGAAAAACCCAAAGGACCAGGTACAGGGACCCGGAGGAAAGGAGGGGGCTGCGGGGACACACAGCACGGTGGCAGGGGGACCCGGACGAGGAGACAAAAACGGCCGCAGATAAGGGGTCACAGTGAGAGAGCAGAAGGTCAGGGTCAGGGCCACAGAACCCAGACCTGGACAGAGCGCCACAGACAGACAGAGATCCCTGGAGGGGCACACAGACGACTCAGGGGTAGGGGGGGTCAGAGCGAGGACGCCCCGGGAAGGGAGGAGGGGCACGGGCGGGGACGCTGGCCCCTGGGCTGCTGCCGCCTGCTGGACCCTGGGGCTCACTCAGAGGGCCTGGAAGGGCTGCCCGCGGCTCAGGGGCCCGGGGGCTCCTTGGCCCCGTACAACTCAGCTAGGGTGCGGAAGAGCGGGCCCCAGTCGTCCAGCGGCTCCGAGGGGCCAGGGGCGCCACCCGCCTCGCTACCGGAGCCCAGCGAGCTGAGAGAGCCGCAGGAGGAGCCGCGGCCCTCGTAGCCGTACACCTGCACTGAGTCATAGGGGGGCACCCCAGGGTCCTCATCCGCCTCGCGCAGCCGCAGCGCCAGCAGCTGCGCCACGTCGGCGGGGC